GGCCCGGCCCGGGGCGGGGGAAGCGGCACCGCGCCCCGCGGGGAGGGAGCGCCCGGCTCAGGGCAAGGAGCGCAGCCGGCCCCGGGAGAGCGGCACCTGCGCGGGGACCCGGCCTCCCTCAGGGCGGCTCAACAGCGACCGGGCAACACCCTGTCTCACCTCACCCGCCTTCACACCTCCCACCCCCCTCTGGGGTGACCAAACCCATCAAACAAAGTACAAAATCCCCTTCAGAACACTTTATTCAGAGGCAAAGTAGCGTGGCAAGTATAGATAATTTAAAAAAAACCCAAACAACCCACAAACCAAACAAAAAAACCCCCAAAACTGCTGCCCAGGATGAAGAGCAACAGTTCACTCTCCTTCTAGAACCAGCGGGGCTCCAGTGAGCACAGAGATGCCATAGATCCATGGGCCAGCACTGTCCATCCTTCTACACAAAGCATCCCCTGCTCTTGCACTTCCCATGTTCTTCAGTGAAAAAATAATCTAAAATAAAATTACTGTACAGATGGGGAAACAGGCGTTGTAACCTGAAAGAGACAAATAACTGCTGTGAGCATTACATCTCCTCACAGGCACCACAGGACACAATAAGGCACATATTTATATCTAAGTGCTAAAATTAATTACTATAATTTGGAATCCTAATAGGCACCTGGGATGAGAAATGGATTTGCAGGAAGCAAGCTTCTAAAATTGACCTGCATTATTAAATTGTGTCACAGATGGTAACTTTTTATGATCATTTTCGCTAGGCATACTTGGCCACTTTTTATTACCTTTTTTTTTAACCTAACAGAGCTTGTAGTCAGTAAATACTCCAGTCTCCACAGACACACGTGTGGCTGGTGCACTCGCAGAGCCCTGGCCTCTGCACGTCTATGAGCCTTTTCCTGGACCTGCTCCACATCTCATCTCTCCAACAGAACTCGGGTGTCAGCTGCCACTGGCAGCATTCCCAGCTACCAGGAAGCAAAACCTCAAACCCTCCCACACCAGGAATGCGGTCGGTCCACGGGGATGGCCCAGGCTCCGAGTCAGCCCTGCGCAGGGAGAACACAGACGTCCCCGCGCACAGAACTGCTGCTCCGAGACACATTGTCACAAACATCAAGGGGGAAAAATCCCATTTACTTTTAACATGAAATGGAAAGGAAAACAGCAGTATAATAATTTATTGCTTAAGTTTTACTTGTGCAGTGCAAATTCTAACAAACACTTTTGGGCTTTTCTAAGGGATTGAGGGGAAAAAACCATCTTTGAAAAGACCCATGGGACTGAGTAGATTATTTAAATGTGTGTTTCTTTGCCACTTCAAAGAAAAGAAAGATAACATGTCTTTGTTCCTCAGAGTCTTTTATGTTTTTATGGCTGTACTTAAAACTTACAACTGGAAGAAAAGCTAATAAATTGCATTAATATACAGGTGCCATTTGGCAAAAGTGGTCTGTTAAACCCTTTTCCACTCAACCACAGTAATGGGGAAAAGTCTCAAGAAGTCTGTGATGACTACAGAAGAAAGTTTAGATTGGATTCTTACCTTACTTACTGACTCTTCGTTATTACTGCTGTTCCATTGTGAACAGGGATAATAGGTGCAGGAAAATCCAGTTCAGGGGCATCAAAAAAGTACGCCTACATTATTACAGAGGAGAGAAAGACTCTTTAGAGAGAAACAAACAGTTCTGCCTCATCCCAGCTCTTTCTTTCCACACCCACTGTTCGCAGGGTACACACACAGCACTGAAATGGCAAATCTGGATCTTCTCTGATTTTATCAGGTTAGAAACAGTCAAGTAAAATGGTGCTCTGAGCTAGATTTTAAAATACAACAGTTAGCAGCTAAGGCCTTTGGAAAGACTTGTACTGGAAAGGATTGGATTGCAGATATTGACTGTTTGCTGTTTTAACTGATGAAGCTCCAGGCAGCCTCCGGTGACAGCAGCCCCACTGAAGTCACCTGCAAGTCTCCTGCTAACATGAGAGTTGTGTTTTGCCTTCACCTCCCTGCACGCTGAGCTGCATGGAACCAAATCTATTTACTCTGGAAGCAAGCAGGGGAACTGAAGCCTGGATGATACCATGCTACCTACTGCAATGAAGAGACAACAAATAATTTCTCATCACTATGTATTTCAGTAGCGTCAGGGTCTTCCCTAACACTGACGTTTTAGTAAGTTCTAGCAGGTGTATGTTTTCATATAGAAAACTCCTAAGCACACACTACATACTGAACATTTAATCATTTTAAAGGACTAAGCATAGTACTTATTAGAATAACCTGCATGGATACAACAAAGATTAACGCTTTGCCGATACTATGATGAATTCCAGATAAATTTAAGACTATTCTGTGAGTGATTTTCTGCTACAGACCTATTCATTACTGAGTTTGTTACTGGCATTGTCAAAGTCAGACTGGCATCAATTTTTGCTATGGTTGAAGTAGTTGGAGATTTTATTTTGGAGGGTTTTTAAATAAAGAAATAAATAGTACTTCTGAAAAACATTTTCCAGCAAACAGCCAACACCTCCTTCCCAGTATCATCAGTCCCAGGAAAATAAAAGATTAGAGGAAAGGAAAGGCAGCATCATACCAAGCAGCCGACAGCCAGCAGGGCATGAAGCAGAACAATGGTCCCCACGGTCGCCAGTGCAATCCTCCGGTTGTCATCTCTGACAGCGGGCCAAAAGGTCATCACCAAAACAGACCCCGAGAGGCACAGGGAGAACATCACCAGGACCCAGCGCACCACTTTTTGTGGTATGATCCATAAAATCTATAAAAGTGAGTAAAATGATTGTTAAAGAGACTGTGCAAAACAGGAATTCATTTATTTAACGCACTGTTCTGTGACATTTCATCACTTCCAGCCACTTTGTGCACAAGTTAACTCACGCCTCATCTAATATGTCTCTGTCATTTGAGTAAAGAACAGCAGCAATTACAGACATGACAAACTGAAACAAAAAGCTTTATCCTAGCCAAGCAAAAGGAGCAAAATTGTTTGCCCAGTCCCCAAGATTTTGACTAATATGACCAATATTATAAGAAATAACTTTTCTAAACCAGGACCTTTTTGCAGGGCATGTGATAGAGGCACACTCTTTAGGCCATACGTACCGCTGTGGGAATGTAAATGAAGAGGGAGTAGCCATACACACACACTATCTCCAGGAACGAGTAAGACACAATGTTCATAACTTTACTGTTCCTCCACATCAGGAATCCCCAGAGAGCAAGGGGAACAAGCCAAGCGTACGCATAAATCGTTGTTGCTGCTATGGACACTGCAAATATAACAAAAGATTTCACATTTTACTTAGAATACCACAAATGTGTACAGGCATTTAGCCTGAAACTAGAAAGCTGCCTTTGAAGTTACTTTCAAAATATAAAGTACAAATTATTAATGAACTCAGAACTTAGCATTTACATCCAGTTTACACTCACTACTTTGCCAACACTTCAAGTCAGTTTAAAAGTAAAGACTCCTGAAGATATTCTCTCATATTTTCAGTTTCTTTATTACACCTGCGTACAAAACGCTGTCAGTGCGAGAGTGAAAGAAAAACTTGGTCAAAAATAAAAACTCAGCTACTAACAGCTACTGAAAAATGAGAACAGAATGCAGACATGCTAAAAAAATTTGAAAGAGAACACAAACACAAGTGTCAAATCTGAAATTATTCAGGTGACTGGATTCCCAAATGGCAGCATTCTTCTAAGGACGTTGTGGGTTTTGGAAGCAAACAGAAGCCAAGTTCCTCTGCGGGGACAGCAGCCTCCTTCATCCTACAAGGACAGGTACAGGCAATTGGCTCCTCACTCTGAGCTCTCTGGGACATGTATCAGTTGATTTTCAAGACTGTCAGAAGGTAACAACTTCCAGCCCTCGGTAGGTGATATGAGTGACACTCTAATGCAGTCACTTTCTGCCTGAGAGCTGCAGCTCCTAGGAGGCCACAGATCCAGAAAGGCACCTACAAAAGCACCGCAGTGGCCACTGCTGGGCTTCCCCTCGCTGTACAAGGGGACATTCGATAAGGTGAGAAAAAGAGCTGCTCTAATTAGTGCCTGCTCTACTAAATCCTTGTAACTACTTTATGCTCTGGAGGAGCAGGGCTCTGCCAGCTACAGCCCACTTTAAGAATGCATTTCGCATCTCTTAAAATTTAAAGAGCGCAATGAAAGGACTGCTAAATCAAAGCTGTCACCTGTTTTCACATTACTTCATTAACATATTGAAAAAAACAAACCAAAGAACCAAACCCCTGAACTCAGAACTGTATCAACTACTTACAAACCTTTTCTGAACTCGGGCACATAGTGGTACATTGGTTTGCCCAGATGGATGAAGAAATTGGAGAGGTTGCCGCTAACAGCGATGGTAAAGACAAGTGTGGCACATATCCAAAAGGGACCTTAAAAGGAAACATAAGTTAGCATGGAAAATGGAATATAAATTTGAAACATTTAGCACAGAAAAGAATTTCTCACACCTTGTACCTACCATAAAGGTCAGGATTGCTGCGGATATACAGCCTTACAAAGTTCTTCCCTGGTACTGGGAAAACTGAACCTTTGATTCTGTCCAGGACCTATGAAAACATACAGATTTGTCTGACTGAAAATGCAAAACAGAAAAAACCTCAATATCTGGATATAGCATAGCTCAGGCAATAGTTCTCCTCTGGAGTGGAGTATTAACCTGGTAAGTGTCCACATCGAAGAACATCTGGTAGTAATCAAATGTCCAGAAAGGGGCACTTTTCTTCTGTCCTGCAAGCAGCTGTATAGGGGGGAAAGGCAACATGAAAAAACATTACAAGCATGCAATTTATGTATTGCCAGTTCATTTACACAACAGTTAAATGATTTCTGCACCCGGATGGCAAACAAATTTAACAGGGTGGCACTCACTATTTAATTATTTAACTGTTTCCCTTTCCCCCTTTAATATTTGTCAGCAGCAGCTAGTCTTATCTCCCTGCAAGCAGAGTATTGGTGGCTGGGGGTTCTAAAGAGCAGCCAGACACCTTCCACCACATCATTTATGACATATGCCTTCACCACCATCACAAGTTCCCTCGCTGTCATTGGCGGCTGCATTAGCTGAGCTTTCAGACAAGCCCAGGCCGTTCCAAAGTTTCCTGCTCTCCCACCAGAGTCACCAGCCCCACAGCAGAATCAACATCAAGAAATATGGTGCTGAGTTTTCAGCTGCTGCTTCATTCATCTCCTGGTATATTTGCCTCGCTTAAATCACCACCATTTCAGCGCAGTTTCCAAGGTGGCAAACCACAACAGCTGAAGAGCCAACGCACGTTTGCTTCTGCCAATTCTGCTATCAAGAAAGTAACTTATGACAGAAAAAAAGCAGAGTTTTCAGCCACCCAGCATGAATTCCTGGTGTCCTCTAGAAACATCTCAGTGTTGTCAGCACCATTTGTATACGTGCCGATGGAGGCACTGCAGGTGCAAGAGTGTTTACCTCTGTTTTATCGGAGTCATCGGTCCCCAGTAATTCATCATCCTCTTCTCTCCCTGGCTCCTGCAGACGGCCGTGCTGATTCTTGGAGATTTCAGCTGGCTCGTCGATGCTTATCGTGGTAGCATCAGGATTTGCTGCAAGCAAATTAGCTGCATCGTCAAATTCTGCAAATAAGTACATTACAAGAGAGGTGATGATCAAGCTACTAAAATTTTTGTTCTTATGGCCGAAAAAGCTACATTAAGACCCCTACACAGCTCAAGAAAGGATACAACACTAGCTTAGGCATGTCAAAAATCATCTACATTTCTTAAAGCCCAAACTGACACATATCAAGTTCGCTATTTTCTT